GAAGCATTTTTGGAAAAGGAAATGGCTGGGAAACAGTGAGTTTTGTGCTTCATTATTTGTATCATTCACATTTTTCGGAATACATTTTTATGTTAGGAATCAATTTGACAGTGATTCTTACAGTCATCTTTTGAGTTGAGGGGGCATGGGGACGGATGGACGCGGGCACGGGCATAGAAATTTTTTCCTCTCTCCGTCCCATCGCAGTCCTCATGAGGTGGTGGGATTTCCATGCCAACCTCCATTTGAGGGATCACATAAAATATCCAGTATTGGAGACTATCAGTGAAAATGCATATTTAAGAATGCGCGATCACGATACGACGGATGGTGATAAACTGAGGATTGACCGTGGTGATTCATGGAACGTGGAATTTGATGACATACCGAATAGTTTCGACGTCCTTGACATGAAAGTTACGAGAATACTGGAAGAGATGGAGGCACAACGAGAAAAGTCTGTTGCTCATGATATTGTTGATTCATACTATCTTTGTTTTGCTATCGTATTCATCAGTGCTCTTGCCCTACCACTGTCGAATGTTAGCGAAATCGTGCCAAGGATAAATATCGAAAAGATGTTCATTTAAGGATCAAAAAACTTGAAGCGGCACTTCAGCAAGAGATTGCCGAAAAAAATCAATTACAAATGCGAAATGCACAGTTGGAAAGCGTTTTGGAAAGAGCAAAAAGTAATCTGGAAGGGGCATTACTTATGAAGGATACAGTTCGAGAGGAAGTTCCAAAGGTAACATTTTCATAGACCTTCTTTCTAAGTGGCATTCATAACCGATTCGTTATTGCTCTGTAGGTTGATGCTAATGCCCCATGTACGCCCCGCCGCAAGTTTTAACGTGAGTCAGAGATCAGCCTCAGCCATGGCCACCGTAACTTCCTGTTGAGCCCGGGAAAACCTCCCTCATCTTCAATTCCGTGCTGAGAGAGGAATGGAAACATGGCTAAGTGTGATTTTGATCCAAAAGTAAAGCTCATCATCCTGAGTACCAATTTAAGCCTCAATGTAAATCCCGCACGGTACCTTGACCTAAGCAACGAATCTCACTGTGTCCTGTGATGAGCACCAGCTCAATTACCCAGGATAAGAACCCTTGTCATAAGACGTGAACATATGATAATTGATTTGAACCTCATCCTTATCTATACAATAACGAACATTGTCAACAATGAACGCTTCTTATACAACCATACGCGCAATTCGTAATAATCGATGAACCTTCAGAACATGACGAGTGAAACGAATGAACTGCGCGAGGAGCTGCAGAAACTGCGTGATGAATCCCAAAAAACTTGCGATGAGACGAAACAGGTACCAATGAAGCAAATGGAGCAGTTTACATAGCATTTGCGTTTATTTCACTCACCACCATTGTTAAAATCAAACCTGTGTTAAAGATAATACTAAAAACATTGTCACCAGTCATCGATTCTTTTATAATCACACGCATTTCGGAACAATCGATGAACCTTCAGAACGTAATGAGTGAAACGAAGGAACTGCGCGAACAGTTGCAAAAACTTTGTGATGAATTCCGAAAAATGCACGAAGAAGTGAACGAAGAATTGAGGAAGCAAAAAACCGTGTTCGGAGCAAAATTTTGTTCCCCTAGACATTTCGCATTGATCAGGAAACTTGAGAGTAAGTGTGATGCGAGTTATTATCCCAATTGCAATATTGTGTCCACCAATTCATATCATGTGATTTAGAATTTGGCACGTACTTCAGTCGGACAGACTGTTTTTTGTAAGTTTCGCTTGAATGACGGAAG